CGTCCCGCGCGGAGTCCCCGCACCCCACGCCTCGCGATCTGTGACGGTCTCCTCGTGATGCAAAGAGGCGCTCCGCACACTGCAGAAAAAAGAGGACTGTTTCATGTTCGGCCCTAAAAAAAACTTTAATAAAAAGCAGTACTTCTGTGTGCCAGTACCTTATCTAGTGTATCGTCATCGTTGTTCGAACGACCCAAGGCGCCCGTGGCTGGGTGTGGAATGGAAGTTGCGTTTCGTTCCGCTCCAGCCGTTCCGCTGCAGCGCGCGTTGACGAACAGTGCCGTGTTGGGAAGCAGGACACGCGAGAACAGAGAGAAGAGAACGAGAGAGAACGAGGCAGCAAGAAGTAGCCCGGTGGATCCTCTCCGCCCCCTTCCACGGCGTCGTGCGGGTGCGGCGGTCGAGTGGGTCTCAGCCCCCGGAGAGTAGGCAGGCCTGTTGCGCACGCGTGTCCTCCGGGCCGGCCCCGGCCTACCTCCCAGGGGCTCTGGCTAGGGTGCGGTGCGGTAGCGGCCCGGGCGCCTGGAGAGTAGGCAGGCCTGTTGCGCACGCGTGTCCACCGGGCCGGCCCCCGCCTACCTCCCAGGGGCCCTGGCCAGCATGACGCGGTGGCGGCCCGGGCGCCTGGAGAGTAGGCAGTCCTGTTGCGCACGCGTGTCGGCCGGGCCGGCCCCCGCCTACCTCCCAGGGGCCGTCACCGGTGGAGACGATAGACGGTCCACTCTGCCCCACTGGCGTCGGCGCGCCGCCGGCCAGAGCCGGGGTAAATTGCATATTGCATGCGGTCCCCTGCGGTCCCTGGCGGTGCCTCCGCGCCGCCGCCGGCCCATTAGTGCTGGCGCTCCTCGCCGGCGTGGTGCTGCTCGTCCCCAAGGCCGCGATGGCACCGCAGCGCCCCGCCGCGCCCCGCCGCGCCCCACCCCGCCACGCCACGGCGCAGTAGTGCATGCGGCGGAGGCTCAAGGGCCGTAACTCTCTGCCTAAGCAGGTGCACACCCGCGCGCAACAAGGACAGCATGTAAATAGAGACACGCCCCGCCACGCCCCGCCACTCCCCGGCGCCGGCATTCCCCGCGCGGTCGCGAGCTATGCGCTGCACTCCGTCGCCGTGCGCCCTTCTCCGTGCGAAATAGAGAGTGAGTGAGAGAGCTGCGCGCGGGGACGGACAGAGCTCGCCAACGATGATCCACCTCTTTTCTCGACGAGGAAGAGAGAAAGACGGGTGCCAGGGAGAGAGGGTCGCGTAATGACACGTTGTCGCTCCATGTCGTGACTCCCTAGGCCACGAGCCCCTCTCCGCCCCTTTTCTATATATCTTTTTTCACATACATTCTGCTCTTGATCGGTGTGTTTTTTTTTTTCTTTCTGCACGCGCAACACGCCGACGTGCTGCTCGCCGCCGCGCGCGGTGGGCAGGGCAGCCTCGCGGGCTGGACGAGGGCGGCGGTGAAGTGATATTGGGGCGTTCAACTAACTCGCGTCATGCGCTGAGCGGCGGCATCCGTTCGCGGCGAGGCTCACCGCGCCAGCTCACCGCGGGGCGTTAGGCGGGGCGCGCGCGCGCGCGAGGCGAGCAGGCGGAGCAGCCGTGTCTCTAATTGCGCTCGCGCCCCATCAACTGCGCACTGCAAACCCTCTTTTTTATTCCCATTTTTTTATTCCCTTCCACCTCGCTACAATATCATCTTTCTGAAATTCCACGGCGCCATCGCCTTCGGTGCCGGTGAGCGCGGTCAGTGCAATGTGGTCGCTCGCTCCTGCTGCGCCATCGCACTGCGCCGTTGTGCAACGCGGTGGAGCATGAAAGTGCGCGCCGCCTCCTGCAGGCCGCCTCCTGCAGGCCGCCGCCTGCAAGCCGCCTCCTGCAGGCCGCCTCCTGCAGGCCGCCTCCTGCAGGCCGCCTCCTGCAGGCCGCCTCCTGCAGGCCGCCTCCTGCAGGCCGCCTCCTGCAGGCCGCCTCCTCCAGGCCGCCTCCAGGCCGCCTCCTGCAGGCCGCCTCCAAGTCCAAGTCGACTCCAGGTCGCCTCCAGGTCGCCTCCAGGCCGCCTGCAGGCTACTCCTAGGCCTCCCCTGGGACACGTCGGCGTGGCCTGGGTCGGGTCAGGTCATCCTCGCAAGCCTGCCCCGGCACGCACTGCGGGCGCCCCGCTCGCTCTCTTCTCCATCGGTCCACATCCGGCCGGGTTCGCATGTGTCATTTCCGGTTGTGCAACGTAGTGCGTACGACCGGTTCAACCCCCGCGCAGAGTCTTCCGCGCAGGGGAAAGGGTTGGCGAAGGGGCGGGCGGACAGACCTCCCCACCCGCACCCCATCAGCCGAGTGAAGCAGTCTGAGCCGTGAAGGGATTATCGACGAGACCCCGCGTGGCGCCGAGCGCTGCTCCGGTGGCGCAGCTCTGCAGCTGCTGGACGCGGCGGGACGCGGCGCCACGCGGCGTGAAGGTCGTATCGGCTCAGCCCGCCCGTACCGTGTAGTACCTGTGTGTGCCTGCGGGCGCCTTGTACCCGTCCCGCCGCGTCCCGCCCCGACAGACACAAGGTGACCGGACTGCAATGCCGGACCGCCGGACGGGAAGCGAAGCGAAGTGCAGGCGGCGGCGCGGTGGCGCGCGGGGCGGAAGTGAGCGGCGGACGACATGGCGAGCCGTTCTTTGTCCGGGACGACGACAAGGAGTGGCGGCTCCATTAGCGACCGGCTCGAGCACATACGCAGCACCCCGCCGACAACAAGCACTCACCTCTCCATGTCGTCTATGTGTTTCAGGACAAGGATGAGCAGACGCGGCTGGAGATGAAGCACCGGAAGGAGGAGGACGACCTCTACCGGAAGTTCGCCCAGACGCGGGATCTGGAGGACAAGCGTATGAAGGAGGAGTTCCGGGTAAGTTCCTTCAAGTTAAGCTACTAAGGACATGACGGTGTAGTAACTACGTCAAATTTGAATTTTGTAGTTTGCATGGAAATTTTCCGAGGTTTAATTTTTTCAGGGGTATGCAACGGCCGGGTGAGCGGCTGAGGCGATGCTCGGCCCGGCCCGGCCGCGGCTGGATTCAGATTGTGATTTTTCCAATTTTTCGTTCTTTACAATGCAAACCAATTCATTCAGTACACCCTATAGGCTCTCCTCTTCCTATCAGTACTCTTATTTCTTCCCAGCAAATCGTCATTATTTCGTATTTTCAAAAGAGAGGTTATTGCACAGTTGCGTAGTTAAAGAAATCGTCCGTGTGAGTTATCAAGATTTGAGATCAAGTTGAAACTTACAATGGACCTTCGTTAAAGTAAGACCTTTCGATAGGTATGCGTGTTTTCCCGGTAGGTGAAGTGGTTCTCCCACATTAACTTGACAAAGTCAGCCGAGCAGATGGTGGGCCGAGCGTCGGCCGGCGAGCGAGCCGAACTCGGGCCGCTGCGTAGTTAAAGAAATTGTCCGTGTGAGTGATCAAAATTTCACATCAAGTCGAAACTTACAATGGACCTTCGTTAAAGTGAGGCCTTTCAGTACGTATGCGAGTTTCTTTGGTATGTGGAGTGGTTCTCCCACATTAACTTGACAAAGTCAGCCGTGCGGTGGCGCAGACCTAACCTCAAACCGCTCTTTTGCAAATACTACAAAATGCCGACTTACCGGGATAAAATTCCAGTACCGATAGGAAGAGGAAAGCCTATAAGGTGTACTGGATTCATTGATTTGTATTGTTAGATACGAAAAATCGGAGAAATCACAATCTGAAGCCAGGCGCGCGGGTCCTGCGCGCTCTGGCGGCCCGCCAGGCTGGGCCGAGCATCGCCTCAGCCTCCCACCCGGCCTTTGCATACCTCTAATTTTTTTTAATCGAAAAATTCGTACAATTTGCTAAAACACCATTCTCTAGTACTGACCGCAAGACTGGCCGTGTTCTACCTCCCGCAGGACGAGTGGGAGCAGGAGCTGGAGCGACTGACGACGCGGTTCGAGCGCGAGCTGCAGACCAAGCGCAAGCGGCCGGACGAGCAGCAGGTGCTGACGCTCCGGCTGCAGCAGGAGCGCGCCGACCTGGAGAAGAACATGACCCTGCGGCGGGACCGCAAGAAGGAGTCGCTGACCAGGAAGATGCTGGAGCACGAGCGGGCCGCCACGGCGGCGCTCGTCGAGAAGCAGTCGCGCGAGATGCTCGAGCTCATCAACGAGAAGCGCTCCGAGTACATGCGCGCCGAGTCGCTGTACCTGGACGAGGGCGACGGCGCCATGGAGGAGGCGGCGCCCTACCCGAGCCTGGCGCCGCTGCCCGCGCCGCCCGCCCTCGCCAAGTGCCACCTCTACCACGACCCGGCCGAGTTCGCGTCCATGGACCAGATCGCCATATCGGTCAGTACGGCTGCCTGCCTCGTCGTTGTCTACCGCTGCCATGTCGATTTTATTTCACTGCTCAATGTGCTGCTCTCTTTCTCTCTCGCTCTCGGCATGGGATGCCATAGGTGGCGCAAGAGGACCAGAAGACCTTCACGGACCTCGTGCGACAACTGGTCGGTCGTTGCGGATCCGACATAGAGAAAGCCAGGTATGTGTTATTCATGCAGCCGGGCGGGCCTAGAAGGCGAGGTCTCGCTCTCCCATGAGGCTCATGAGCCTGGCCGGGCGCGACCCACAGTGTCAACAGCACGCGGTCCGTGTCCCGCCCCGGCTGAGCGCGATTCACTTTCCTCCGGGGTCACGCCCTTCCTCCTCCTATGCGCGGCTGAAACGGATCCAACGCTTAATTTGTTTGCCGCTGGCGGTGTTTCTTTCCAGAACCATCTTCCGGTGGATCACCGTCAAGAACCTCAACACGATGACGTTCGACGACAACCTCCGGGGGGACACGCCCATGGGCCTCCTCCGGGGCATCAAGCACGGCACGGAGAGCTACCACGTGCTCTTCAAGCGGCTGTGCAGGTGAGCAGCTCGCGTGGGATTGGCATTCCCCCCCCCCCCCCCCCCCCCCCCCCATCCCTCCTCCGCGTGAGGATTAACCGTGCGCCTTTTGCAGCTACGCCGGTCTGCACTGCGTGGTCATCAAGGGCTACTCCAAGTCGGCGGGCTACCAGCCCGGCGTGCGCTTCGAAGACTCGCGCTTCCGCAACTCGTGGAACGCTGTGTACGTGGCGGGGGCGTGGCGATTCGTGCAGTGTAACTGGGGGGCGAGGCACCTGGTCAACGCCAAGGAGGTGCCAAAGGCCGGAGCCAAGGGCAAGTCCGACAGCCTAAGGTAAGTCTCCGGGCCTCGGAAGGGCGTAGACCCTCCGCCGCCAGCACTACGCACCTCGAACTCCTCTCCTCGTTCTCGTCCCGCAGATACGAGTACGACGACCACTACTTCCTCACGGACCCGCGAGAGTTCATCTACGAGTTCTTCCCGCTGCAGTCCGAGTGGCAGCTCCTCAAGACCCCCATCACCCTGCACGACTTCGAGGAGCTGCCCTTCGTCCGGTCGCTCTTCTTTCGATACGGCCTGTACTTCCCCGACGCCCACACCAAGGCCGTCATGTACACGGACGCCACAGGTGAGTGCTGACAACGACTTACACTAGGCTCCGAGGGGGTGCAGAGTGCGTGACGATGTGGCCTGTCGCAGGAGCTGCCACGGTGAGGATAGCCATGCCGGCAAATATGCAGTCCAGCCTCATCTTCCACTACAATCTCAAGTTCTACGACAGTGACGGCGACATGTTCGACGGCGTGTCCCTCAAGAGATTCGTCATGCAGGTGAGGCCCCCCCCCCCCCTCCAACCACACACACTTGCACACTCGCGCGCGCGCGCCGCGCGCACCGGCAGGACCCGCTGTCCCGGCGCCACTCCTAACCGATGCACTCTTCTGCTCCATACCCGCATTCCCAGTCGGTCGTCGGCAACATCGTGGCCTTCCGAGTGCACGCGCCGTGCAGCGGCGCATTCCTCCTCGACATCTTCGCCAACGCGGTCACGCCCAAGGAGTACCTCACCGGGGAGCCCATGAAGTTCAAGTCGGTGTGCAAGTTCAAGATTGCCTGCGAGGAGCTGCAGACCGTGATGGTGCCGCTGCCGGACTGCGCTTCGGGCGAGTGGGGCCCCACCAAGGCCACTAGGCTGTTCGGGCTCATCCCCATCACCCACCAGGTAAGCGCTGTTAGGCTCTCTTGAGTCGAGCGCCTTGTGCTGCTGCTGCTGACGCCTCGCCGTGTTCTGTCCCCAGGACGCGCTGGTGTTCGCCGGCCGCGAGCTGGAGCTGCAGTTCCGCATGTCGAGACCGCTTACCGACTTCATGGCCACGCTGCACAAGAACGGCGTGGAGGAGAAGCGGCTGTCCAAGTTCGTGTCGCACGCCGTGACCGACGACGACATCGTCACGTTCATCATCAGCTTCCCAGAGGAGGGGCAGTACGGCCTCGACATCTACACGAGGGAGCTGGCCTCGGACCGGTCGCACGGCCACGGCCTGCACGGCGAGACCAACGGCGAGAAGCACCTGCTCACGCACTGCTGCAAGTACCTCATCAACTCGTCCAAGAGGAACTGAGCAGCGCTCGCCGCTCCGCCCCGCACCCCGTACCAGGGGCTGTCTCGTACTTGTGCGTGCGACGCTTCCGAACCTCTCGCTGTGAATCGTTATTTATTATTTTTCTTCCCACATAGGAAGATGTTTGCGGGCAGTAGATTGTGTTCAGTCTGCTGGGCAATGAAACTCTCCGCTACTGTATTTGTTTTCTAGTTTTTGTTTTGAAAACTTTGTAAATTTGATACGAAATTTGTAATTGCATTGACCTCATTGACCTTAATGCTAATTTGACCAAAAATGTTGTGGGGAGGATGTAGATTAGTGAGAATGGACTGAATGAGTCGGATGCAATTATCCTCTCCACAACACTTTTGCTTTTAAAATGTACCAATAAAGAATTGTTGCAGCTGGTTCTGTCTTTCATAAACAAGTGAGGAACTTTTAATTAATTTATGTATGGAGGTCAAGTTTAGAATTATGTAATTTAAACAACAAATTCAATGGTAACTAACAGCTGTTGCTGTTCTTGTCAAAATGATGACAATTTATGTGCAGATATAAATATTTATATAAATATATGATTAAATAAAAGTGCTTTTCAACTAGTCCAATGTATGCTGATGTAGGAGAGAAGAGGGAATGAACGGGTTACAAGTTGACCAGGAAAGGTAAAGAGATTATGTTCAGTAGTCCAGCCAAAGTTTTGAGGCTAGTGGCTTAAGAATTTTGAGTTTTTGTAATTAAAATTTAGAAGAATAAGTTAATAAGCGCTTTGTTCACAAATTGTGAAAAACTGACAGTCACATAAGGCTCAAAAGATGTACCTACATGTAAGAATATGTTTTGTCCATGAACTTCTTTACTAGCATGTTTGATACTTCTAAAATGGGCCTTCAAAAAGACATGGGCAAGTAAAGTACTGGTAGGTACCCCTTGAAACACAAACTGACTCAATAGCAGTATGAAGAGAATGAGAAACATCTCACAATGAATTCTCTAACTCCTTAACAAAGAGATCGGGCATGTCATTTTCTGGTTGCTTTTATGCTCTACTATTAACAGTTTACATTAGAGAGAACTTTTTAAAACCATGAGATGTTGATTTGTGTTTGAGAAAGTGGTACCAGTAGCTAGCAATTAAATCCAAAGAATATTATTAATATTCAATATTGTATTTCATTACTTTCCAGTTGCTTGAGAGTGTTTCATGAACTTTGAACTGCACATTTACAGGAAGCTTTGGCAGAGCCGACTAGTAAAGCTATCTGAGATGTGAGATGCTGATTTCAAAACTTCTTGACTGTTCATAATGTAAGAGGTCAAGATATCAGTCAACACATTCTCTATGGACCGGAAAGAGTTATGTTAACTGCTCAATTTTACAATTTCTTGGTCTTGCCTTAATTTGGAAGCACATGTTTTCTATAACTCTATAGCCGCATTACCAATCAATCAAATAGACAGTAGTTGGCTTTCAAAACTGCTTGCCCACAAATTCTGAATAATCCAAATATATGTGATTGAATGAAAAGCAGCAATTCTTTTCAGTTTCATGAACCAAGAAGAAAAGCAGTCTGATGAAGGATTGCAGATTAATGTAAGTTGTAACTTATCATGTTGTTTATAAATATAAATATATTTATGAACTATAGATATAGGTTTATAAAATGATTATATAGCTATGAATGTTAAACAAAGTGCTTAATCATCCTCAACTAAATTACAAGGCTTGCACAGCAATTGCCAAAACAAGTGTACATAAGACTGTTAGAGTATCTTCACTTATCAGGCATCAACCACAATCTGGTATTGTAAATGGTTGGTTTGGTTGATTAATAGATTAATGAACTACAACTGTTAAAAGTACTTTCAAACCATTCACATAACTAATTAATCTTGGTTACTTAAATCCGCGAGAGACATGCAGACAAAACCATTAATAAGACGTACGAGTATTCTCTAAAACAATTCATCTTGCCATTGCATCAATTGAATAAAGTAACACTGTATCAATGCAAAATTGGACGGAATTATTTCATGTCATAGGATCCTTAGCAGGTACTTCACGTACAAGTCATCATTAGGAAGCATGCACAAAAATGCTTATCCACCTATACCTCACCAAAAAACCTTGTAAAAAATTTCAATATTAAAACAAATTTTAAGAAAAAAAAATACCTCTGGTTCATTAAAAATAATATAAATATAAACAGAAACAAAGCACAATAAGGCACAATGGTCTTAAAAATTAACACTGCACCATCTTTCAATAGAAAGACAATCATAAGACACTTACATAAAGAAACAAAACAAGCTGACACTTAAAATTAGCATCAGGGGCGCATTAAGGTCCGGCTGACAGGGGGAGCGATGCACTGTCGGTTGCCTACATACAGGGGTTTTGAGGCGCAAATTGTCAACCTTTCAGGCAGCTCTCTAGCTAGAGACGACAGAGGGGGCGATCACCCCCCCCCCCCCTCCCTTAATCCGCGCCTGATTAGCATCATAACAAAAAAGATAAAGAAAAGTAGATTATCTAACAGTCTTTTTGAAATATTAAATATTCCGAACAGATAATCGAATATGATAATTAATAAAAAGAGAAATGTAAAGACATTAGATGATGATGAGGTTGACATACAAAATGTATGGTAATAAATGTGAAGCACCATTGTTAAAACAATCCAGTGTCCAGAAATCATAACCCCAGCACATAAAGAATGCATTGGTGATACAATTGATATAATAATAAACAAGTAAGTAAAATACTGATCAGGACGAGCAGAAAATAGGTATTGGTAACCCTTTCTACCCAGTCTTTGGTATTGATGAGACTGAGTCATCAATAAGCAATCAAGTGAGAGTAGACAAGAGTTAACTACTGTTCCAGTCTTAAGCTACTCAGATCTAACCTAGGTAAAGTTAAAGAGTACAATGCGGAATTTGTATTATTAGAGAGCACAAGAAATATAAAATTCCAAGTTATCAAGGATGACACAAAAAAACAGACACATATTTAGGTGCCAGCTAATATTGATGCACTATCATTAATATGTTGAGGAATTTCATCAGTACCAAGACAATTACTGCGTGGGGGATGATGATTTTCAACACCTTCAATGAGACCTGACAACAGGTCTTCAATTTCAATTGCATCTTGTTGCAATTTTTCATTGTCTTGCTTGTGTACAGGGTCTATAAAGAAGGAGAGTTTAAAATTAAGTGCTGGAATCAAACTTGACCCAAAACACATAGCAACATAAAAAATTATCAAACGACAGTATTAATTTTCAAACTAACCTTCTGCAAAATTAGAAGCAAGCATATTCTGCAAACGGTCAAGGATAGTATCCAAGTCTTTATGAAGCTCCTCCAGTCTACGATCCCTTTGTACATCAGAGAGTGACTCTGACTGGCCGTCAGATTGAGCATCTGACTGACTTGGTTCATCTACATTATTTGGAAAACCTCTGTCCAGTATTGGATCTAGAAAAAGAGATGATTAATAATAATGATGAAGTTGAATATAAACAAGACAGCAATCATCAGAAAATAAAGTGGAATAGCTTATTGAACATACTGTGTAGCCAGACGCTGGGAAAGTCTTCTTTCTTAGGAACTGAGAAAGACTGATGATCACCCAGCCATGTACTAATGTCTCCGGGATGCCTTTCTGTCAAACTTGGTAGAGAGGAAGAATCATCGGCACTTGCTTCTGCACCTTCCCCAAATTCTCTTGGACCAGGTACCTCAACTTGTAAATCTCCTTCAAAGAAATTCAATAAATTAGAGGAAATAATGGGACTTGCATGCTGCAGTTTTTCAGAATAAGTATCAAGAATTACTTGGAGGTACATATGAAGAATTTTTTTCCATGGGTATGGGGCTCAATTCACTGAAATGATCAGCACTGGGTTTTCGGTTGCGTTGACCGGCATAAACTAAAGGAGTGCTCTCTAATCGTTCCAGAGTGCGGTGTGGTACTTGTGGCCGAACCCGAAGAGTAAGAAACCGCTGTAGTACAAGAAATTCGAAATTGAGAATGATGCCATTGTTAATCCATACCATACAGATTATGAATTGAACGGAAGTAATAACATTTCGTGTGACATACCTTCAGCATTTTAAGTCGTTGTACCTGAGCTTCTACCTCCCTTCTTGTTGCAATCGGAGTATTGCTGGAAGCAGTTTCATCAGCAGCACAGAGCTGTTCCAATTGAGCAATAATGCTCTGTAGTTCTTTCCCAGGATGAAGGTCTAATGTGGAACCATATAAGACAGTGCGAGAGGTTGTTTCCAGACCATCCAGAAGACGAGTAACATCACCACAAGATCCAGCAGCAGCTCCCCGTTCATCCTTCCTAAAACGATCAGCAGACAATTGATAACCCAACCATGACACACCTCCCCCAATACAAGGAGTCTATCATCAAGAAACCATTGACAGACATACCTTCGAGTTATCGATGTCATTGGTATAGCTGAATCTTGTGGCAAAACAGGAAGATATTGAATCTTAGAAGAGGAGCGGCATACTTTATTTTTGAGCACCTTTAAGAAGGCTCTGGTAGCTTCCATAGATGATGTCTGAGTAGATAGATATTGTTGATATTACTTCAACGTATTAAAACTGACAACTTGAGGAAGTTGATATTAAAGTACATAATCAGCAAGCTGGCAGCAACAGTAAATGGCTTACCTGACCAACATATTCTTGCATAGGATGTGAAAGCTTATGTTTACGATTGACTTTGCCGGTGAGGAAGCAAGTTTGACACTGCTCATAGCCCATGCAACGTAAGCAACGATAACGCAACCCACGTACTGGCTGTGCTTTGCAAACAGCACATTTAACATTGTGCCAAACTAATCAAATGTAAAAAAAAAGCAAGACACAGATATAAAAAAACAATCAAACTGAATAGCCTTCAACATGTACAACACAAATAAGCCTAAGCAAAAATACTGAAGCCCATATACTAAATATAAAATCAAGACAGAATTATTCTTTAATTTAGAAATTTACGTACCTAGTTCAGCTGAACGCATTCGATAAAATGTAGACAACCAGACAAGTAGTTGAGGCTCATGAAGAAGCCAACTCATGTAACCATCTTCTGTTACACCCAGAGTACCTTGAGACTAAGACCCAAAATTTACTATTGATATTTGTAATAGATTAGATTAGATAAGGTAGTAAACATCAGAAAAGTAGGAGAGCTTACCAACTGAAAACAACTATCTACAGTGGCTGGAACTAATGTTGGACCAAAGGATTGCCCTTCAGAGAGGTATTCCGCAATCATTGCAAGGGCATGCAGTAGAGCTTCTAACTTGCGTCGTGAAATGCAGTTGTTGTGATCTGCCACTTGATGGAATAAGTACTGATGTTTGTCTTGAAGTCGCCCATTTGATAACACAATCAAAGCCACTTTCGCTTGCAAAACAGTCAAACCAGTTTTTCTTTTACTGAAATAAATGCAAATATGCGAGGTGAATAGATTGCATTTACATTATTGAATGACTGATTTATTTTATAACTTACTCATCATAGGCATTGAGAAGAAAGTTTAGTAAAAGCTCAGAGTTGAGATCTACGTCGTCATCTGACATGTTCTCTCTACGAGAAGCAAAAAACATATCAGCTAGCACAGCTTCAAGTTCTGGGACTTCCAAAATAACACCATTTTCAGGAGAGCGAAGACGGTGTTGGTCAAGTACGCCCACCACAAGTCCCATTCTGACCTGCTCCACTGAGAAAAGAGAATGTATTTTTTTAATTTTTATGAATTTTATCTATACCACTGGATTGAGGGAAGAATGTTACTGACTGTGCAGTGTTCTTTGTAGCACACATAGTTTGGCTGCTGTGCGGTAAGCTGCATATTTTATGACATTACATTCCCGAAGCAAATTAATCACTTCATTGTACCGTGGGTGATCCCATTGTGTCTTCCTCTCTCGGTGACTGGAATTGTTCACAATACATTTGGATTATGAGAAATAGAAATTGAGGCAACAACTAGGAAAGATCCCAAAAGATGACTTACTTTATGTAGTAAGGTATTCCACATTCCATGTCTGCACGATCCCACCATTCATCCATTGCATCTGTGACAAGTAAATAAATTGGTACAACACAATAAGGCCTAAGTTTGAAATATCCTTGAAACGAAACGCTAATGTAACATATTATATTTAAATTGTTAATATACGTATTTTAGAAGTGGAATGAAAAGAGGGACTTTGATATACCACCAAGGCAGATACAAGTGTTCTGCTAAACTAAACATGACACAAAAACCCAGCAAGGAAAATTAGCCCGATTCTTATCGGACAAGAGAAAGAGAGAGATACTGGAAGAAAGTCAGCGGTCAAAGTTCTTCAGTAATCAAAACAAAGTAATCATAACCTCCAAAGTCGAGTTCCACGTCCCTTGTAGAACCTAACGTGGGCTAAATGCTATCAAGAAACCATTCCCAATAAACGAAAGATCTGAGAAATTTGAAAACATGTGGAAATGTTAGGAACTGTCAAGACATACCTTCCTACTAAATTAGAAATATAATTATCGGCGTTTGTGCCTACACCATCAACAAGCAAGCTGCACCCGGTAGAGAAGTTTAAGTTTACTCTCTTCTCGCTCGGTGACAAACAAAACAAATATCGACAAGATCGGATAATTCATAGGACCAGGAGTATAAAGAGACTTACATTGCAAACTAGAAGTCAAAATCAAGTTTCTCCATCTTCAAAGAATACATTCCAGTTTGAAGAATTCACAATAGAAATGCAAATTGTATTTGTTGTCAACACCTTTCGTTTTCGCGGCGCGCTTTTCGGTTGATTGTTTACTTTTTTGATTTTTACTTTTTCTTTTTGTTCCATCCAAACAAATCGTTTGGCTATGAGATTTTCTATCCGTTCGTCAGTTGTCCGACCCCATCTCCGCCCGGCTGTTCGTCTCTTCTATGTATATGTAGTGTGGCGGTTTCCGGATCCTTTTGAGTTGAACCCTTCTTTCCTTCAGGGAGTGTGGTGAAGTCGTGGCCATTTCTTTTCGGCCGAAGAATCGCTTGGCATCGCCAGCAGCCACAAGTCTTTTCCTTGGAAAACACTTTTAACTAATTCATCATGCCTCCCAAGTTTGATCCTAATGAAGTTAAGCAGGGTAAGTCGGTCACAATTACGGAAATTTTTGTAATAAATATTTTTCGCGGCTGCCTTCTGTCTCAGCGCGGTATCAGTTCGACGCATGGGTATTATACGTTGAATCAATTATTGAAGTAGCCAGTCGTGTCCCTCACCATATTATCATTTCGGCGCGGTTTTCTATTTCATGTCTGAGAGAGTTGTAGAAGTTATGTTCTAACGCATTGCGGAAATTTAGTAATTCCTAACCTCCGACCGGCGTCTCGCTCGAAGCCGATAACACGCTGGGTACTCCAATGTAGTTTCCCACAGTCTTGCCTATGATGACACCGAACACTGGCTTATGAAGTCATGATTAATTACGTTTTACATGCACTACCAACTGAGGCAGCTGTGGGTGCTGACATGATTGGGGTCTCTACTTCCTCTTGCTACTCGTGTTTATTGCACGCTAGTCAAAGTATTTCCTGGCCTATGATGACATAAAACACTGGCTTATGAAGTCGTGATTATTTATGTTAACATGCACTACCAACTGAGGCTGTGGCGTCATTAGCTTCGTCATCTAAATGATGTAAATCACTCGAATTTGGTGGAAACTTAAGATTGAAATCTAATGTTGTGGTTCTTGTTACAGTTTACCTGAGGTGCGTTGGAGGTGAAGTTGGTGCCACATCATCTCTTGCCCCCAAGATTGGTCCCCTTGGTCTGGTGAGTTCCTCTCGCTATTCTACTTGCATTGCCTCCCTGTTGAGTTTGGCTGGACTAGGATTTTTCGTGCAGTCTATAATTATGGGAGGCAAAATTAATCCAGTATTTTTCTCAGGATATGTTCTTATTACATATCTTGGGATTCATTATTGGAACATGTCTTTCTCTTAAAAAATGAGTTAAACATTATAAACGATTGTTTTATTTTTCCCCCCTCAGTCCCCCAAGAAAGTTGGTGACGACATTGCCAAGGCTACCTCTGACTGGAAGGGTCTGAAAATCACAGTATGCCTCACCATCCAGAACAGACAGGCTGCGATCTCTGTGGTGCCCTCAGCCGCTTCGTTAGTAATTAAGGCTCTGAAAGAGCCCCCACGTGACAGAAAGAAGGTCAAGAACGGTAAGTTTTACTAGATTTTTCTAAAAGTGCTTGAAATCCTTATAAAATTCATTTACTTACCTTTCATTATTCCTTACAGTCAAGCACAGTGGCAACATTACCTTTGAAGATGTTATTACCATTGCTAAGACCATGAGGCCACGTTCCATGTCAAGAAAGCTGGAGGGAACAGTCAAAGAAATCCTTGGCACATGCCAGGTATGTATTGCACAAATTGGTTGAACCTTTAAAGAATGGAACATTCCTGGAACCAAGGCAGCTACCCTATTCACTTTCCAACACCAAGGGGGCTATAGCATCTTGCTGATTAGTTAGCTATTCTGTTGCCTATGATGACATTTAACACTGGCTAATGAAGTCATGATTATTACGTTTTACATGCACTACCAACTGAGGCAGGTGTGGGAACAAGAAACTCATAGTTGCATGAGTTGTTTTGTGTCCTTTTTTTTTTTGTTAGAACTGAAGATTTTTAAATCTAGATGCTAACAATTTTTTTTGTTTTTCTTTTAGTCTGTTGGATGCACCATCGACGGCAAGGCTCCCCATGATGTCATTGACGAGATCAACGATGGAGGAATCGAAGTTCCTGAGGAATAGATGTCCATAGTAAGTGTATTAAAGATCAGGTTCTGTAATTGGGTAATGCTTATCTGCCTTCGATCAAATGCTAAAGTTCTCAGTTTTGTGTCAGTTTAATTCTGATCAGTACTACTTTCTAAATTTAATTTGCCAGCTTTTGCACTTGATTGGGGTGAGATTGGCCAGGTGAGTGTCCTGTGTGGGACAAGCTTGCCTTCTTACAGAACTTGTATCTTCTTTGGTAGGGGTTGGCATCCCATCCACCCACACAACCTTCTCCTAAATTGCCGTATTAAATATTCGTTATACCTTACCTTGGTTGTGTGGGCCAATTAGCCATTGAGGAGACAACCTCAATAAAACAATCACATTATCTCTCCGTGGTGCATGGATTATCCTTCCACACGTAGTATTTTTGTTTTTCAACTGATGTGTTGCAGTCTATCCTGGAACAGTCTGCTTGAAAATATTTATTTGCTATTTTTCATTGTAGTGTTTCTTTCTTTCCAGGTGAGGCTTTGTTTCAATAAAACTTTAAAAAAACAAACGATCTGTTTTTATTCCATTTAACTAGGGTTGATGCAAGTCATGGGAAATGGGAGGACGTTGGTCATTGTTCAGGAAATTGAAGAAACTGGTGGGAAACTGCTCTGGTTGATTTTGTCGGGTACTAGAAATTCCAGTACCTGTTAAAATTTGAACTAAATGTGAGAGGTAGAAGTTTTGTGGGTTCATATCTTGTGTTCAATTATCAGTTAAATATTTCAACACACTTGAATCCAGTTAGTGTAGGATCTCCTTATGCTTCCTCTAGAAATCTGAGGTACTCTTAGAATACGATTCCAATCCAAGAATTTTGTCTTAGCTTTGCACCGGGCGGGTGCCTGGAAGTAGTCTGATGCTACCCAGTGAGATATGCGGATATCAAATTGACACCAGAACGATATCGGACATCAGAAAAGTGTCGATTTCGGGCCCATTTTTGAATCAGTTCTGGGTCGATATCGTTCTGGGATCGATTCGATATCGCTTAAAATTCATTTCTCACTGGGTAGCTCTTTGCATTGGCACCCACTCTCATTTGTCTTCCGTACGCCAAGCAGACGTAAATTGATTTTAGGGTAAATAAATTAATCCAGATAATGGCCACTGCACTTTGATTGTTCTCTCAGTACAGTGAAAATATTAAAAACGATTGTGATCAATGGATTCTACAGCAAATTGGGTAGCATTGCTCACACTATTCGGTACAAAAAGAATACTTTTACATTATCGACTTCAGTCATAATTGTTTTAGAGGAACTTGGTGAGGCACCAAATGATAAATTGATAATGTGTATGGTGAATTCCATGGGAATAATTATTACAAATCTGTCATCTGTGATGGAAAGGAGTTCATCTATGAATATTGTATAAAAATGAATTGACTGACAATTTGAGATTAAGTACCTACTTAACAGCATATTTCATATACATAAGACTTCCTACCTAAAAGCAAACCTCTACTTGTTGATTATATGTTCCGACTATCAATTAAGCAATTACGTCAAAGAAGTGTACATAATTTGATTAGTCTATCATAGTTATGTAATAAAAAATACCTTGAGTACACAGTCAGAATTATCAAACAATAGATATGCAGGCACATATGTTGGAAACAATAGGCAAGCTCCAAGAAAAGTGATTGATTTGAGCTTATGTTGACGATTAGTCTTGTTTCACTTTGGGCAGTAGATATGTTCAGTTGGTATAAACCAACATTTCCCATTTCTAAGGTATGTGCCCCAACAGGATTCGGTACAGTTACAGTGGAGACTAAAAGAATCACAGTAAGAAACTGAATGATGAAATTCAGAAAGGGGTTTGACCCTTGTTTTGTAGGAAGAAACTGAACTCTGTCTATGGAATATCTTCAGGCCAAAGTGTAGATATAACAAAGCCTTCAACTGGGCAATGTAAAATTTTCTCGCCCATGCCTATTCCTTTCAGAAGACATGAATCAAAAGAAAAAACAAATCATAATCATGAGGTGGAGAATAAGTAAATTTTCAGTCCTTAAAAGACACCCATCACAGTACTTCAATAAAAAAAATTAAGACAAAGAACAAAACAATGTAAACATTTAAAGAATGTGTCACATATTTAGCTTGACAGAGTCATTTACAGGTAACAAAACAATTCATGGCCTTGGACATGGAAACAAAGTTCATACAATTCACTTAGAATGTATAGAATAAATAAATCATTTTCACTTCATATATGACAAGACATACACATCAGAGGCACTGAAAAATTTGGGACCAATTGGTACAAAAGATTGGAGTAACATTAATTAAAAATAGGCTTGGTTCCAACTGTTTCAGTAGCACTCTTACACACTACACTATTTCAAACACACAGTCATTTTTCAAAATGAAAATTCTACTGATAAAAATGCACATCTAAAACATTCTGCAAACTCGATCTTCTTAAAAATCTTGGATTTTCAGTCGGGTTGGAATGGGTATTCATGGCATTTACTTGCAGTCTGTTTGGTCTAAGAGGCTTGAACAGATCAAGGACATTAAGTCTTTGGATTAAAAGTCCAATCCTTATCTGCATGCCTAGGCCAGAGAATACCAGTTTGCACAATTGAAAAGTTGCGCTAAAGATGAGAGAAAAAAAGTCTCTTGGGAGCTTCCAAGTGAGATTTAGCTCATTTTGAACACAAGTAAGCGGCAGAGCTCGCTAATTGATATGTCTGAGGTCCACGCTTCACTCGGGGAAACGAAAATAGATTGGTGCAGGAGCAGTCATTGTCATCATATTAGACAACTGCTTATTTTCGTCTTCCGAGTCGAACGGGGACACTGATTGTTAGGGTGGCACATATGGAGGTGGTTTCCTGTATGTGGGGGTAGATTTGTGCCGAGTGTGCCTTGCAGTGTCACGGCTAGTTGTGAAGGGAGGTGGTGGCTGATAAGGCTCTGCATCCTCTGTATCTGACAAAAGAGCTTGAGTTGGGGGCGGAGAAGGATTATGACGCTGGTATTCAGGAGGAGGGAGTGGTGGTTTCTCCTCCTTCATTATAACTGGACTTTTGTTGATTGGCTCAGTCTGCTCTTCAAGTTCATCCTAAATTAAGTAAACATCAGAAAATTTAGTTAAAATTCAATTACAGTGGATGCTGATTTGCATACCAAATGTGTACAGTTTCATGAAATTACCTGGAAAATTACAGGGATGCCTTTGTTTCGAAATGATTGACGCTCATCTTCATCACCTACACTCATTTTACCAGTGCGTCGGCGACGGTAGAGAACACAAGCCACAATACCAGCTAGTAGAAGCATAGTGCAAATAATGACTGCTGGCACTACAAATGTTATCTTAAGAGGGAAAAAAAGAACAGTATTATAAATAAGTCACAAAAAAATGTTTTCTGATAATAATGGTAATAAAGATCAAAAAATTACCAAGTATTCCTCTGAAGATCCCATTGGTGGAACTTCATCAACAGGTGGAGGTGGAGGATACGTAGGATGAAGTGGTGTCAATTCACCTTGACACACAGCTGTAGGATACAGTCCTACAGCCAAAACTGTGAATTCTGGTCCCATGACCGAGATTAAACGGGAAGACATTTGATTATCGTCGTTTACTAACACTCTTCTTAAGGTACTGATCTCATCATGAGGGCACCTAGTTGTTGGCAGTGTACTGTTGTACCATGTTATCACAGTTGAGCCCTAAATAAAAGAAGAAAAAAACAAATTTGAGAACATTAACTATAACACATTATCACAATTTGATTTAAAAACAAGACATGTAAAAAATTTGACTCCATAGATTGCATCTAACATTTTCTTTAGTTCTGGAAACTGTTGGACTTAGTACCCAACAAAGACAGGTATGCACAACAAGTAGGGTTAGGAATGCAGGGTTAGGTATGTGCACTGAGAGTTGGTTGGTGGTAGGCTACTGTACAAAAACATGGAGGCCACATAGCGAAGTATGCATATAAATTTCCATTCAATAATGAAGGAATATAGCTTAGACAGCATTACGTATGCGCAAACAAGACAGACAAACAGTGACGCCACAATTAGATCACCTTTATATTAAGGCTTGGAAAATCTTGGTTTGGGTGTTTGCTCACTTCACCAATTAGGGGACTTTCATGTAAAAACTGAAAGTAAATGTTCAACAGTGTAATAAGTTGTTGTTCTTTTAAAGGAAAAAACCTGAACACCACATTCAACATGTACATGATCCATGAACAGGTAACAGTTCAGAACCTCTCAATAGGGAATTTTTACATGGAAATACCTGTAAGACTATGCTTACCTTTGAAATTCTTCCAATAACAATATTGGAAGTATCAGGATCACCAAAAAGTTCTCGTAGTTTTTCGACAAACTTGCGCTTTTGTGGTGTATTGCGAATAAATGTCTCATAGTGTGGATTTATTGTTATACTGAACTCAACACTATAGGGCACTACTTTAGCTCGATGAACTACAACCACCAAACCATCATGTGCACGAAGACCACCTCGGTCCTCACAAACCTAGACGGCAACAAAAACACAAAAGTAACTATTGATTCAACAAAAATGTTACTACAAAAAAAAAAAAAAAAAAAAATACTGAACTTGACTTTGATAGTATTAATAATGTAATAACAAAATAGAACATAAACAACAGATTTTACAAAAAACAACAACAAAAAAACAAGTGGAACTTACAAGCTGGTATTCTTTTGAGCCCTCATCGGAGGGCATTGGTACACCATAAAATTCCTGATTTTTGATGTCAAACTGTAACCAGTTGTCAGGAGGGATAAGAGAGTGATCCATAGTTAAAAGTGACAGTTTCATAGCTCGTGTATCACCATCCTCAGGATCATAAAAGGAGTCCTAAACAGAAATAAATTGTGTAATTTTTTTAATAGAAAGAGTTGGATAAAAATAAGTAATTTAAATTTGTAAATGTTTGCATACTTCTGGAACTTTGTAGCTGAGCAGCATTCCAACTGTTGCATTTATATGGTCTACTTGATTACGAGGAACTGGGGGATAGTTAGAGATTGGAGATCCTGGCTGCACCTCAGGCTTTGTTGGCTCTTCACAATTTGCCAGACCCTTATATAAAACTTTTCTAATGTTTAAGTGCTTAGCATGTACTGTGAGAGCATGGAACAAAGCTTGACTTGGATCCCCATCTTCATTCCTTCTCAACACCTGGGTGGGGGGAAAAACCCTTATTACTTTATATTGTGGAAGATGAAAATCTTAATTTCAAACAACTAACACTGTACCTTCAACATATTTTGTATCCCCTCATGAGGGCATGTGGCTCGTGGTAATGAATCATTTGTGTAAGTTAACGAAACAGAGCCATTTGTAGACAGCTGGGCAACATCCAAGTGGCGGACAGTGATCTGTGAAGTGTCAGGATCACCAAAGAGGCGAGCTAAGGTTTCGACAAGTACAACTTCCCAATTAAGAACTTTTTCTTGACGAATTAAAGCTGTTGGCTCCATAACAAGCGTTATTTCATGGTTAACAGCTCTACGATGCTGGTGGTGCTGGACAACAACTTCAAGTTTATCAGAAACTGATGCACCCTCTTTGTCAGTGGCCTCAAGTGAGAAGAACCACCTTGACACATGTTCTTCTAGAGGTCTGCAAGAACAAAAAGATTAAAGTGCACAATTAAATTTTTTTTAAAAAAATACTCTTAAAAAATATAATAAAATAGACTGCTACAGAAAAATAAAATTTTAAACTAAAGTATTAATCATTAAACTTACAATAAAAGTATTTCTCTCCTTGCGGAATTAAATTGGATCCAAGAGGTTTGATCTAAATCATTACCATCTTTAGTTTTCAGAGTCAGTCTGAGATTTCTAGTGCTTCCTTCCTCCAAGTCCTTAAAAGTCTCATCAGGAACCACATACCTGTTGGAAAGAGATCATTGATGACATCAGCTGCAGTTGTTCGTAAAGCTCACAAAGTTTCCTAGCACATTATGCTTACTTCACAATCTTTCCTGCTGTCACAGGTTGTTTACGAAGCCTCATATTGACAGTTGGAGGGAAATTCTTTTGATCGATTTCTATAATTTCTGTAGTAGTAGTAGGAGGTGTGGTTGTGGTAGTTACAGGAGCAGGAGTTGTAGTTGGAGGTGTGGTTCCAGCAGTAGATGGTACAGTTGATGGGTGACTAGTTGATGTGATGTTTGTCGGGTCATAGAAGTCAGAAACATCTACAATGGTAACAGGCTTTTCAGTAGACTCCCGTGTCTCCACACCCTCAATTGAAACATCAGTACCACTTGCTGGGCTACTACTTGTGCTGCTTCCAGAAGTGCCATCTATCATTGGTTCAGTTACCTGTAGCATTGTGAAAAAACATCAGAGAACAGATACAGTGTCACATATATGACATAGCGACATGCACTTCTGTGACTTAATTTTAATTGATAGCTTTAATGAATGATTCCATGATGAACAAGCATTTCCAACCCTGCATTCCCCCCAATCCCCAGACATGCTTTCCCCCTTTGCTTGGTAGAAAATGCGAAGGCAGAAATATGTGGGAAAGGCCCATCAAACCCAAACATTACAAGCAAGAACTCACATGAGTTGAAGATTGATCCATATTGCCAGTGCCAGAACTTGGACTGTAACTGGGGCTACCTGCGCTGCTAGGACTTGGATATGTAGTAGGTTCCACATCAGTGGGAAAAACAGGTGTTGGAGTTACCTCCAGACCTTCATATACCCTGGTAATTTCAGGAGTAGGACTCCCAATACCAAAGTGAATTGTTGGTCTCTCAGGTTCCTGCCACAACACCAATAATGTAACTCCTAAGTTCTACCTTATTACTAAATATAGCTTCAAATAGCACAATTTTACGGTACTTTATTTCTTTAAGAAAATGATCAAAATTTCTTTCAGTAGTAAAAATGCTTAATATAGTCAAATAATAAAATTTGTGTGATTAAATTGATTATAAAAATGGATAACTGTTTTCAGCGTTTGAAATAAAAAAGTTTTTAAAACAAAAGAAGCAGAGAATTCTACTGAAAGGTAAATTCCTAGATCAGGGGGGATCCAGGGGCTTACTGAAAGGTACCTACCAAGGTGGGTGTTGGCATGATGCTACCATACAACACCGGGCTAGAAGGGAGGGAATACCCGCCACCACCAAAGCTTGATGATAAGTATGGTGCCAATGGTCCAGAGTCTGGTCGACTGCTCCTGAATTCCTCTACTGGGTTGTCAACCTCCTGGATTCCAGGTAATACCCCAGGTTCTAAATCTCCATGGTGGTGACGATGATGATGCTGAGATGGGTTTTCAGTGATCGAGTTGAAGTTGTGTGAAAAGGGAGTGGGAGTGGCAGTAGCACCCGGATAGACAGGGGATGACATGGTGGGAACAATGTGAGAGTCTGGTACTCCTCCCTCTCCTGCTTCAGTATCATCAGTAGCACCATCTTCTGCAAAGTTGCCTGATCCAGCCTGTTGATTCACAAGGAGGTGCACATTACATGCATGATGATCACAATGCCCAACCCCCACGGGCCACCCAACACAAAAGCTTCCGAAGAAATGTAACAGTCAGATGGAAAGCAAAGAGTCCATGAATGAATTTCCCAAGTTAAGAGAGTCAAAGCAGAAACCATGATTTGGCAAGAAAGGTCGTAAGTAAGTCTCACCTCATTCTGCCCGGCAGCTTCGCGACGTCCCCGATTCGCTAAACTGTTGTCAGCCTTTATGTGCCAACCGACAACTGGCCACAGTAATACTTCAGCCAATGTGCCATCTCTAGCCTGTTGCTTTAAGTCCTCGACTACTCTAGTCTGCTGAGGCCAAAGTTGACTTTCACAGCCAACCTATTGGGAAAAGAATTATTATAATTAAACCATAAAAAAGTGACAGCAGTCAGAGGTACACAATACTGAAAGAAAAGTTTTGATTGAAATAAAATCTTAATATATTACCTGCCACTGAATAACACTGCCTTGCTTCCACTTCCGCTTCTGGACATTGCCCTCTCCAGCCATTACAATAGAATCTTCAGATAAAATGTCCTCCCGAGAATTTTGAGGCAGCAATTGGAATAGGTCCTGCAAGGTACATTTCTTTTAAGTTAATTTCTCAAGCTCTCAAGAATAATATACACATTTTATAAAAGAAAAGCTTGAATACTTATACCCACATGAGAAAGGGAGAGGAATCCAGAAAGATTGTCAATAGTGGTTAAACGTTGTCTCGGTTTCATGTGATCATATTTACCATCCATTACTACACTAAGGATGAGCGGATCTTCTCCAGGGCCACACTTCACCTAAAGCACCCAACCCAAAAAAAGAAGTTAAATACCATTTTTGGAATTTACAATTTCAGCATAAATCACACAACTAAGACCTTAGGATGGTGGTGTGTAGTGAGACCTAATGGCACTACTCCTGCCGAAGGAGCTGCTTCAGCTGGCGGCAAGACGTCTATTGAAAATTTGTCTTTGGCCGAGTTGAATGCAGACACGGCGTGGACGGTCACGTAGACGGTGCCCACATCTTTGAGAGTTGGCACACCCTCGAAGAGCCCCGTTGTCTGGTCAAACAGCAGCCACGACGGGAGGGGCGAACCGTTTGGACTCTGCGCCTGTCGAAAGAAGCAACAACCAGTAAGTACAAGATCTCGGTTTGGCTGGTTTGGCTACGGCCGACAACACTAGAGTTGTGAGTGCGAGGTGGTGCTGACTTTTTTCCCCAGTTAAATGCATATGTTGTGATGGCACTCGAAAGGTGCTAGAAAGGTCTTTGACAGTATTAATATCTTTGTAAAGGTGCTAAACCCTTAACACCCTTCGAAGATGAGACTGAACGCTTTTAATTATTTTTTTCAGAAAACATTTATGGTACAGGAAATTTAAAACAGTGCAAACGCACTTTTAAGACACATGACGTACCTCATAGTGGTCCACGTCGCCGGAGAAGGCGTCGCCCGGGATGGCGAACCTGAAGAGCTTGCCGGCGGTGGCGGTCGTGTCCTGGACGCCCCACTGCCGCTGGGTGAGCTTGGCCGTGGGCGCGCCGCGCCTGCCCTGGCCCTGGGCGTGCGCGGCGCGGTGCGGGTCGCCGCCGCCAGTCTTGTGCTCCGCCTCCACGTCCGGCTCGAAGGCAAAGTCCAGGTCGCCGTCGGCGATGCGCAGGCCCTGTCGCAGGCCGCACGCCAGCCCGGCCAGGGACAGCACCAGCACCGCCCACCAAGACGCCCACCGGGGGGTCATGGCGGCTCCGCGGACCGCGCCGGGGGCCGATCTGAAAAGACAGGCGAAGAAAAGGAGTCAGCGTCTGAATCTGGGGCACAAGCGCACAGCGCACCCTGATCTCTCGGAGAGGTGCACCTGGGGCTGATTCACTTGTAGAAGGGGAAACGTCACGACCACCTTGCAGACTTGCAGCGGTCCGGTCCGGGGTTCCGGGCCACTCTAGCCCGAAGCCCTCCGCCGCCCCCGCCTGAACCACCCCGTCGGGCGGGGGCGGTCTGCACGGGGCAGGGAAAGGAAGTCTGGCCGTCGTCTTTCCTCTCTGCCCTTTCATCTTTTGCCCCCCCCCCTTTATTCGCGCCAATCAAGCGTTATTTGCGGCACCCGGAGAGAAAATTCGTGATTAAAATTCGCCAGTTGGACGCACGCTGCTCGCTCGTGCCCGACCATCGACGTGGCGGCTCGACAGCGTCTCCCCCCCCTCTTTTTTTTCACCCTCCCCTTGATCCGCACGCACAAAGAGGACGGGGGATGGGATGGCGGGGGCGGAGGGATTACAAGCCCGGGCGCCCGCCGCCCTCCTCGCCCAGCGCCCTTGCGCCTGTCCTGCGGCGTCTTGTCCGTGGGAGAGAGACTCCCCCCCCCCCTCTCCGGATTACCGCGTCAACCTAGACACGAAATAATAACTCGAGCAAAACCGAGTCCTGAGCTAAGAAGTAGCAGCAGCAAAAACAACGACACAATAAGCGCGCTCCCCGTCTGTCTCCCGCCCCAGGCCCCAGGGCGCCCCAGGGGCATTATGGATCCGGCGCGGCGGGTCGAGGCCCCCGCGGCACCGTTGGCTGTCGACGCCAATATTTGCCGTCGTCGTCGCGACTCTAAATGGAGGCAATAATGTAATAACCGTGTCGTCTGGCTCTCTGCCGTCACCGTCTCGTCGTCGGCCCGCGGGGGCCACGACCGGGGGTAGGAGCAGCGGGGTGCGACCGGAGGCAACCGACGAACCTCCCAGCAGCCACTGGTCCTTCCTGGTGGTCCCTGGAGTTTCTTGCAAGGAGTTCACCACCACAGGCTGTGGCGGCGCATCGACGCCGTGCCGGGGCGGGCGGGCAGGTCAAAGAGTTTCGCTCTTCATTTCCACCCCCTCGACGGCTGGGGCTGGAGTCGCCTCCACCAGGACCGCGCGGCGAAAATCCACGGCGAAATCCCTCCCCATTCTCGCTAATGACGGCGTCGCAGTGGTTTTAGCGAGTCTCGAGGGGTGCGGGATAAAGAACGCCCCCCGCCCGCCTGCAGCGGCTCCACTCTGCAATCAGTCGGCGGCTACACGATCAAGCACGCGCTTCAGCAGGTCCCGAACGGCCCACCCCCCCCCCCCCCCAAAAAGAAAAGAAAATCAGCCGGCATTAATTCAACAACTGGCGGACTCACCCCACTTCCACCACCCAACCACTCCCCACCCCTTTACATGCCACTTCATATATGAAGTATACTCTGCAGAAAAATTATGACGACAAATCAACAAGACTTTCATTGCACATAAAAGGGGGGGGGGGCGATTGAATGTGCAGACACAATCATCAAACACCACAAGCCACCTTTTATTAATTTATTATTTTTTGAGGGAGGAACATGGTGCCGCCTGGCCCCGGTGCAGGCAGCCGCCGAGGCACGGTGGTGTGGCGATGACTTGTCCGCGTCCAGATGCCATCCGCTACGCGGCCCGGCGGGCGCTAGCAACAGGGACCCACACTCTCTCTCACACACACACACACGACCAAAACACACTCTTCGGCCAGCTATATATAGCGCGGTGCGTCCCCCCGCCGCTCCGCCGCGCCTCGCCGCCGAGGCCAAGGGCCTAAGGAGCGCCTCCCTCTCTCTCTCTCTCTCTCTCTCTCTCTCTCTCTCTCTCTCACACACACACACACGATGCTGCCAGTGTTCCCTCGTCTAAAGATAAAAGTTTTGTCACAGTGTCAAGTCGTGACGGCACATCAATCACATATTTTCCCTTGTATTTACTCGTCGTTTTCCCGCGCGCATCTCCGCCGCTCTCATTCGCTTCGGTTTACTTCTTTATGCATTTCTTGCATCCTCACTCCGCCTTCCTTCACTCTGGCCGACAGTTGTCGATGTACATTTTAATGTGCACTAACGTCGACTAACTCTGCTGAGATGTTTTTGTGAGGGGATGAATTATTTTTCCCCGTGTAGCGGGCGGCGCCTGCGGTCTGCAACCCCTTGTGAACTCTGTCAACATTCTTGAGCGTGCAGACCATTTAAATGTGGGCCCTTAAGTTTCGGCGTGGTGAGGTTGGTGGGGTCGGGGG